TCCTTACGGCAAAAACACACTTCTTTGGATTAAGTCTAAGATTATGCCTAGCCATAATCTCAAAACATTTTTCCAGGTCTTGAGCGTGTGTGTTGGCTGTCCTGCTTTTCACCAGCATATCATCGACATAGGCCTCCATGGTCCGTCCAAGTAAAGGCCTGAACAATTTGTTGACCATCCTCTGGTAGGTCGCCCCTGAGTTTTTCAACCCAAAGGCCATCACCTTGTAACAGTATGTCCCATCCGGGGTGAGGAAGGCCGTCTTTTCCTCGTCATCTTCCGCCATGAAGATCTGATGATACCCTTTAAAGGCATCCATGAAACTTAGCAGCTCACACCCGGCGGTTTTGTCAACCATTTGGTCCGGGCTGGGGAGAGGAAAAGAATCCATTGGGCATGCCTTGTTGAGGTCTGTGTAGTCTACGCACATCCTCCAGGTATCACCCTTCGGAGCCAGGACTACATTCGCCAGCCATTCAGGGTAGTTTACTTCCCTGATATGACCTACCTCAAGTAGGTCCTTAACCTCCTTCTTTACAAAATCTCTCCTATCACTTGCCAAAAATCTCTTCTTCTGTCTTACAGGCCTAGACCCCTCAAGAACAGAGAGACGATGGCAAATGACTGACCGGTCAATTCCGGGCATATCAGCAACACTCCAGGCAAACAAGGATTTATACCTGGTCAGCACCTGGACAACCTCAGTCCTTAGCTCCTCCTGAAGATCAGCTCCAATCTTGACCTTCCTCTCAGGATTGGAGGAATCAATCTGGATTTCCTCCGTGTTTGCACCCGGCTCGATTCTAGCCTTCTCCTCTCCCTTGTCTACTTGCTGGGAGACCAATTCAATTTGTTCGAATTGGCGGGTCATTTTCTTGACTGCTTCCAGGTAGCAAGACCGGGCATTCTTTTGATCACCCCTTTCCTCCCCGATCCCATTGGGAGTGTAGAATTTCATGCACAAGTGTGCCATAGAAATGATGACCCTGACCTGGTTGATTCCATGTCTACCAAGAATGGCATTATGTACACACTTGATATCAACCACAACAAATCTCATTTGCTTGGTTACTGTTTTGTTACCCAACCCCAAGGTAACTGGTAAGGTGATCTGACCTTCCGCTTCTATGCTAGCTCTAGTGAAGCCTGACAATGGAGTTTGCAACGTCTCAACATGGACCTGTCCAGCTTCAATTTCTTGAAAGCATCCAAGTATAGAACATTGACACTGCTTCCTGTGTCAACCAGGACCCTGGCCACATCAGCTCCATTGATATCCATTGTAATAACCAAAGGGTCATTATGATCTCCCCCCATCCTGGGCAGATCCCTATCAGTGAAAGTGATAGGTTCCCTTCTTGCCTGCTTCCCTTATGATTCCAGGGAAACCACCGCTACGTGCAAGCTCCTGGCCCAATTCTTCCGCTGGGAGGCTGTGTCCCCGCCTTCTGGGCCACCGACAATCATATCGATGAATTCTTTATCCGGCTTGTTGTTATCTTTCCCGGATTTTTTCCTCCCCTGGTCTTTTCCCTGAGGACGGGTCCAGGTGTTGGCTTTCTGATCTTTATTCCCCGCTGCATAACCTTCCCCCAGCTCTCCGTTCAAGGCCATCTCCTTGAGCACGGCCTTGACATTTCGGCAGTCCGCCGTGTTGTGGGAATCGGATTGGTGGTATGTGCACCACTTCTCCGTCCATTGTCTCTTGGGTTGCTCTCCCTTCTTATCATCCCTTATCTGGTGGATGGACCCGTCATATGTAGCCTTTGGCTTGGACCCTCCCGTCTGGTCATCCTTCTTCGACTTGTCATATTTCGCCTTTGTATAGCCCTCCTCCAACTCTCGCTTGCTCTTGTTCAGGACCTCCGCCTCGGTGTATTCCCATGTCGTATTATAGGCTTCCTGATAAGAGGAGGGTGGCCTTCTACAGAATTCAGTGTAGAGGTCACCCGACCGGAAGGCATTCATCAATAAAGACATGGCCGTCTTATCATCCATCTCTTCTACTTTGTCAACCTCATCCCTCTAGCGGGTTAAGAATTGAGTCAAGGACTCCTTCTCCCTCTGCCCTACCGTGTTAAGGTAGGTGAACTTCTTCCTCTTAATGCAGTTGTCCTGGTACTTCTTGCGGAAAACTTCGGCAAGTTTCTCAAAGGACCCAATCCTGCCATGGGGAAGGCCGTTAAACCATTCCACAGGCCTCCCTCTCAAGGATGAGAAGAAGAGCAAGCACTCCTCAGCATCAGTGCACCCGGCCATCTGTGCTGCATTGTGGAAGGTGTCAAGGTGGAC